ATATATATATATATATATATGGAGTGTAAGTGTATGCCTGAACATACCATATATGAGAATAAGCCAATAATAGTAATGAAAAAAAAAGGGGGTTACCAATAACACAAGTAGCAGTAGTCACTTGTAGATTGAACTTCACACACTCACACCTCTGTATGCGTGTGTGTGTGTGTGTGAAAGAGTTAGAAAGAAAGCAACAATTTACTTTGATGAGAAAGCACGAAGAAGTTAATCATAGGCAGAATAATTCTGTGCGTCCTTGATATTCTTCTTTATTGTGATTTTTTTTTTTTTTTTTACTATTATACTCGTATAGTCTTTCTTTCTTTCAGACTCACCCCCTCGTTGCTCATTTCCGTCTGGTAATTTCTCTTTCTTTCTTTCATTAATTTATTTTAAACTTATTTTTTTTTCTTTTTTGTTTTTGTTTTTTTCATTTCTATTCGCATAACACACACTCCACCTTCATCGCAACAACATTTCTTTTTTTTTTTCTTTTCACTTTCTGCATTAATTATCGCACGGCTGCCTTCTGTCTTTTCAAACGTGGCTACCAACCACACAAGCAAATACAGACAGAATATACATAAACCCCAATACCACCAAAATATATACCTTCTCCCTTGACTACCAATACCATCACCAATACTACACTACTGCTATACCACCATCCTCTCTTTTTTCTCTCTCCCCATATTCACCATATATATATATATATGTATTCAATACATCTTTGTCCACAGAACTAGTCTAGTTAAAACGGTATGCACCTGGCATGCCAGAAGGTGCACCCATAGAAGGAGCGAACATTTGTTGGAATTGTTGCCCGGAAAGATAGACAGGTCGTGCAGATTGGGGCGGTTGAATTGGCTGACGCAGTTCCTGCGGTTGTGGCTGTGGCTGCATGGCGGTTTGTTGAAAAGGTCTGAGCTGTGGCTGCTGCATCTGCAATGAGGGTGGAGGGACGTGGCGTTGAAGTACTTGTTGCTGAGAAACCTGATATTGGAATGGTTGTTGTTGTTGTTGTGGCTGCTGCTGCTGCTGCTGTTGTTGTTGTTGTTGTTGTTGTTGTTGTTGTTGAAGCTGTTGTAGTTCAGCCAAGGTCATGGTCATTACGTATTGTTGTTGTCCATTTGAAGCTAGAATAGCATAACGTTGTGGTGAGGCAGCAATATTGGCATACTGTGATCCCATAAGCGGCTGCGGCTGCTGCTGCTGTGGTTGTGGCTGAAGAGGCAAACCTTGCTGTTGAGGCTGCTGTTGAGATTGTTGTTGCTGTTGTTGTTGTTGTTGCCACATGTACTGCATCATTGCCTGCTGTTGCTGTTGCTGCTGCTGCTGCTGTTGTTGTTGTTGATGTTGCTGTTGTTGTTGCTGTTGCTGTTGCTGCTGCTGCTGCTGTTGTCGTTGTTTCAATTGATCTTCAGAGAGCTGGTTCACTTGAGCAGATACCCCATTTACGCCTTGACCTAACTGCTGTGCCGACATCATCATTAATTGATAACCCGTAGATCCATCAGCAGTTCGAACTGGCACCAACACCTGCACATATCCTGGCGGAACCGTTCCTGTTACTTGTTGCTGTGTTGGTTGTGTTGGCGGCGGTGGTGGTAATGTCTGTTGTGGTGATTGCTGAGGCACAGGGAGCTGCGATGCATGCGGTGGCGGTGGGGGTGGCAATTGAGTTAAAGAACTTCCACCAGCAACCCCATTTCTACACGGCATTAGTTGTTGTTGTTGTTGTTGTTGTTGTGTTGGTGGAGGAGGAGGAGGTAATGGTCCTGCTGGTCCCTGCTGCATCATCACTGGACGTGTCTGCATATTTCCCAACGGAATGGCATTCGGTGCTATCACATGTGAGTTTGAGGTGTATACTGTGTACGTTTGTTGGGGTTGTGATAGTGGTTGCTGCTGCTGTTGTTGTTGCTGCTGCTGCTGCTGCAGTGGTAAAGTAGCGGTACTTGTGGACTGCGGTGGTGACTTGCGAAGCAGTTGAGCTCCCGCCACTGTTGTGGTTGTTGTTGGATGCATGAGTTTTGATGGGGCGCCACTCATCCAACCGTACGGTGGAGGACAAGTTTCCTGCAGTGAATATGGTGGCAGTGGCTTTGATGTACACTCCGGTGCCATGGATGTCATCAACCGTTGACTGTGAGTGTCGTCACTTATTGGAGTTGTTGTGGATGTTGCTGCTGCTGCCGTTGTTGCTGTTGTTGTTATGTTTGCTCGTGCTGTTGTTATTCCGAGTGAGGTGGGAACAGGTGTAATACTGGCGCACTGAATGTGTGGAGACGTGCCCCCATTTGAAAAGAACGTGGGAGTTTGCGAACCACTTGGTGTTAATTGCGGGTGTCCACGGGAGTTACTGCTGGAGTAACTGTAGACATCTGCCGTCTCTGTCAGTCGTGATGGGAATGGATGGCCATTGTGCGTTAACGCAGCAGCAGCAGCAGTGTTGATTCCCGTGGTCTCTTTTACCCCAAACCGATGTCCTCTCTCCGTGAAGACATTCTTATTCCCATCTGTGGTACTCGTCGTCGTTGTGGTTGTAATGGTTGCGGTGGAAGTCGTGGATGTTAACAGGTCGGATGTTGGGAGTGGAGGGGCGGTGGAGTTCACATTATTGGCCGCACTGCTGTGGCTACTGTGACTCAACACGGAGGCCGCCGCCGTGCCGATCAACACACCGCCGTCGTCCTCATCGTCATCGTCAAGGGCATTCATTTGCCGTTGAATGTCTTCATTGAGCATGAAGAGATCGACATCTTCGTCCTGGCGCTTTCGGAATAGTTTCTCGTAGTCAAAATCACACATTAGATGGGTTCACTTAGTTATGTAGTTCACTGGTAATTGGTATACTCTTTCTTTCTTTCTTTGTTTTTCTTGTTCTTGTTATTGTTCTCTCAATCCTCGTTTTGATAGTTTTTTTTTTTTTTTTTTTTTTTTCCTGCTTCTTTCGTTCTTCACTTCTTCTGATTAGACTCTCTGCACGTTACTTCTTTTGCCTTTTACTCCTTCCACTTTCTTTCGATCTCCTTCTTCTCTTTTCAGACCTCTTTCTCTTTCTTTCACGACAATCCTGTTACAGTTGATTCTGTTTTTTTTTTTACTGTTTTTTTTTTCTTCACGCTTTTATTCCTTGAAATCTTTCTTTCTTACTTTTTTCTGTTTTCCTCCGTTACAACCTTGCTGTTTTTTCTCGTTTTTCTTTTTTTTCTTTTTACTGTGTGTTTTTTCTTCTTCTCGTTCTTTTCAGTCGTGTGTTTGCAGAAATCCGTCTGTAGCTTTGTTCTTTTTTTATTTTTTTGTTGTTGTTGTAGTTGTTATTGTAGCTGTTGTTGTTGTTGTTTTGTTAATACTCCTTGAAGCCGATCCTTTCTTGCTGCTATGCTGTCTTAAAGCCTAATTGGGAGACAAAGACAGACAAACTAAAGATATCAATAAAAGAAAAAAAAAATAAATAAAGAAGGAAGATGCATTTCAAAGATAAATTCCACCTGTACATAGTCAAACAAGATCAACCTCAATACATATATATATATATATATATATATATATATATCAGACGAAATGTGTGCCTTACTTGGTAAACAATACCATAAACATTGGTAATAATAGCAAGAAAAAAAAAACAGAGAATAAGTTTTATTTCTTCACATATGATGCGATTGTTTTCTTATTTGCGTTTTTTTTTTTTTTTTTTTTTTTTTTTTTTTTATTCCCTTGTTTTGCATTCATATCTTTTTTTTTGGTTTTCATTGTAACGGACACACGTTGAAATATTTAACCTCATTTCAAACACACACGCAAAAAAAGGAGGGGGAAAAAAAAACGTGCGTCTACTGTTGGAAGGGTTTTTTTTTTTTTTTTTTTTTTTTTTTTTTGCATAACAGAGACTACAAATGAGTCCAACGGTCCAGGGTATGAGTGAGATTGAGAAATACCGTAGAAAGACAAAAAAAAAAAAAAAATCTCACAAAAAGACCGTCTTCCTCCATTTCAAAAAGGCAAAAGGCAAAAGGAAAAAAAAAAAAGAATCACTTCCACACATATTAGCCTTCATTTTTCACACATACTCTCTCTCTTCCTTACTGATATCCACCTCTTCACATATCAGTTACCACCCATATTTACTCTCTGGTGTCACTCATCTGTACAGCACATACTCATAGATATGTGCGATAGATAAAGAGAGAGATAAAGAAATATATATATATATATATATGTATATATATATATATGAGAAAGAAAAAAAAAAACATTGTGGTTCTCTTTTAAGGTTCTACCGGTGGGAAAGGCGGTGCGTCGGCGTACATGATAGCGTACATACGTACGAGTGAGGCATATCCCTCCATATCTCCGGCCCGCACGAGATTGCCGGCATCGCAGTTGTACGGACTGTCCGCCTCTGGTGCGGCGAGGAGTGTGCGAATGGCGTGGCACACACTAATCAGCGTCCACGCGGGCGACCATCTATTCTTGAGAATATCGAGACAGACGGCGCCGGTCTCGAAGTTGACATTTGGGTGAAATACGCGAGTGGTGAAGTGGGCGGTGGGCGGCAGCATTGGATAGTCCTGCGGGATGCGGAGGAGCAGTCGGTACGTGCCGCCCGCGAAGACGGTGTCCGGGGGGCCGCGCAGGAGGGCCTCCCACGTGAAGAGACTGTCGGCGCGGAGGGGGTGGAGGTCAATGTCGGGGTCGGGGCTCAGCGAGAGTGCCTTCAGCTCCTTCCCAAGGCGAACCACCCCAGCAGGCATAGAGAGAAAGAGAGAAAGAAAGAAAAAAAGAGAAAAAGAGACCAATAAATATATATAAATAACTATATATATATATATATATATATATATATATATATATTTCTCTGTTTACCTCAGCGATAAATAGAGGATAGTGACGAAGCAGAGATGAGTGTGAAGATTGGTGACGGGGGGAACTGGAACAGTTAAGGCTCAGACGATGACGATGTTGATGTTGAGTGCAAAACGGAATAGATAATAAGACGGAATTGAAATGGCCCTATGTATGTATACATGGAAGAAGAAATATAAAAAAAAAAAAAAAGAAGAAAAGAAAGAAAATAAAATAAAGAGGAATGTCAAAGAAAAGCAAGGGGAGTAAACCCATTGTTGGTTAGGCAAATCTTGTACGCGTCTGCACGTGCACAGACAGCATGCGATGAAATAAATAATTTAAAAAAAGGATGAGAAAAAGTAATAAAAAAAAAGAAAAAAAAAAGCATTCCCGCCACATGGAGCTCCTCAACCCGTTATTTTCTTTTTTTTTTTTTTCCAATCAATGAACATAGCATGATCAAATGAAAAGGGAGAGGTTGAAAGAAAAAAAATAAAATAAAATACGCATGTGAACGTAGAAATATTTAGATTTGTTAAGATCTCACAGAATGCACACATTCTCACTTGCTGCAATACAATGATGTCGCTCATTACAGTTCTCTACAAGCGACATACACACTAATACACACTAATATATATATAAACTAGTGAATACCAAGTATGCGTATCCGTGTTTACGTGTATGTACGTGTGTGTGTTTGTTAATCTACGTGTACAGCATCAGCAAGAAGACGAGATGAATGATTGGATGGAATAAAAAAAAAAAAAAA